TCCCTCTGGCTCCCCTTCTCAGCACCCCCTGGGTCCTGCTGTGCCAGGTGCTGGGGCCGCAGGTGAGGGGGACCTGACAGCCCACACCGGGGAGACCCACGTGGCCGCCCTGGCGCACGGGCTCAGGGGCCTGGGAGCGTCGGTGCAGCCTGGGGTCAGTGGGGCCAGGTGCTCAAAGCGAGGCTGTGAGGCCCAGACAGAGGCCAGGAGCTGGCGCTGCCCTGTGCCCGGGGGCCCAGGCCCCAGAGCAGGGAGGTCCAGGCCCCTGCTCTGGTGGAGGGCAGGGTCCCCAGAAAGCAGGAAGTTAGTGCAGAGGAAAGAGGGATGGAGAACACACACAACTGTGCAGAGGTAGTGGGGGCCCAGAACAGGTGCCAGATTCAGGATTCCCTGCTGGTTCTCCCAAATCCCTCCTGAAAAGCGAAGGGAAACCAGGGACTCTCACAGGTTACAGCTCACCCCCGCCTTCACCCTGAACTGTCCCCAAGTGGAGCTGTAATCCTCTCCCTGCCGGAGGCTCACGAGGTGCACCACAAAGCCACTTGCACTTCAATAAATGGTGTTTCCATAGCCGAGCCGGGCTGTTAGTGGCCTGCATCTCCTGCCTGTAAGCACACCAGCTGCAGAATCCACGCTCAGGCAGACTGCGGATGAGATGAAAACTCCCGAGTCTAAGGACTGAAAACTCAACTGCTTGCAGTTACGTCTAGGGAAGGAACCGGTCAGCTAGGCTCCCGTCTTCCTGTCTGTGTCATGATGAGGCCGGCACCGTGTGGCGGACGAGTCACGAGCAACCCAGGCAGAACTGGGCCAGGCCCAGCTGGGCCTCCCACACTGGAGGGGAGGGTGTGGGGGAGGTGCGGAGGGAGCGTGACCGTCCTCGGAGGACCGACAGGCCTACACCTGCCTGTCAGCATCCCCTTTTGGCTCCCAGGTGCAGCTGCGGGGCCCTCATAGCCTGGTACCACCTCAGGGAAGACTGGGGTGGTCACTGCACAGGCAACTCTGAGCAATGTCCCGCTCCCCTCTCCCTGTCACCCCCAGTCTGTCTGCTCTTACATCCCCACCAGGCAGCGGGAGATCTGTATGGGTGTGGACCTGCTGCTTCATGGGGGCACAGCTCCACCCAGGACCCAGTGGAGGGCAGGCGAGGGCCTGGGGGCTCAGCCTGGCCACGTCTGACCTGTGGCCTGGAGCTGGGTCGGGTGGAGGGAAGCAACGCCACCCTGGTGAGCGGCAATGCCGGCCCCAGGCTGGGAGGCAGCGGAGCCCAGGGAAGAACCACCCAACCTGACTGTCCACCGGGGCAACAGGAGACTGGTGGGGCCAGGTGTGCAGGACCCAGCCCCCGATGACTGAAGGACACAGGCCCAGCTCTCCTCCCATCTCGTGGTTTCTCCTGTTGCCTGGGCTCTGGGTTAACAATCCCCCTTTCCGCACCAGTACTTGTTGGTGGCTGCAAAAGAGCAGAGCTTGAAGGTCTGCTTTTAAAATAGGAGTCAAAATGGAGTCCAGCTGAAAGAAGTAACCTGCAAACCCTCACTGAGTGCTCAGCACTGGCCTGGCACTTAGCACCTTCGGGCGTCACTCCATTGCAGAGCTGCACGTATGTTACTGCCCCGTCGGAGAGAAGCCTGGGCTGCAGGGCTGGGAAGTGACTTGCTCAAGTTCAGCAGTAGAGCAGAGCCAGCCCTGCGTGCCTCGAGCAGACTGGCTTCCTAGCTGACGCTTGGTGGCCGCGTGCTCCCAGAAGGGCGCAGGTAGAGGACGAGCCCTTGCTCCCAAAGCAGAGCTACGGACAGTGTCCCTCCACGGGCCTCACGTTACCAGGTGCGACAGGCAGGGCACCTCCTGGGTGTTGACTTAAGAGAACCAGAGCCTCAGTTATTCAAAAGCGGAGGTGGGGTAGCCAGCAGCACAGAAAGAAGGGGGCTGTTGGTGACCTACCTCATCCGATTCATCCGATAACGTCTGAAGTAGGATGGGGAAGAGGCTGTCTGTGTGCCGGAACATCTGCGGGGCAGAGACGGCGGGGCCGTGAGCCTCCTGCGGCAGGACAGGTTCCCCTGCATGGCCACCTCCCTCCTTCGCTTCCAGGCCCCGAGGACTCTTTGGACAACTGTCCCGTCTCTGCAATGACCAGAACCCCAGCAACTGGGGGCAGGTCCCCACAAAAGCAACATGGATGTTGAAGGCTTGCAGGAGCCCCCTGGGCTGGGCACTTGGGCCTCACCTTCCGGGGCGTCTTGATGTAGAGGTGGTAAAGCCACTTGAGGACGGCAATCCTGGTCATCATCCCGATGGCCATGTCACTGAGGTGGCAGTTCAGGACCTGTACGATCCCATCGAGGTGGAGAGTGACTGGGGCCCTGTCAGTGCTGTGGGCAAGAGCAGCAAGAAGAGTGGGGTGCAGCCCAGGCGGACCCTCCCTGGGACTCCTGGGGGCCTGTTTCTCTCCCTCCACGTCCCTCTACCCTCAAGGTTGGGACTGGAATGGCCGCATTAAGGGGCAGTGCTGGGTGCCCGCCCACACCCCCTCCATCGTGCAGCACTAGCCCGGCTGGGGACAGGTCAGGAGCAAGGCCACCTGTAGGGTGTCACCCATCTGGGCCCCAGCGGACCACAGGATACTAAGTACAGATCCTTCGTTGTCAAAACAAAACCAGCAGGTGCAGAGGCACAGGGGTGAGGCTCCAGCAGACGCAGCTCACCTGCTCCTGGGTAGAGCACGGGACCTGCGTGGCTCGGGCCAGAGTTACCTGAGGTGGAGACCCCCGTACAAACTGGGGAAGAGGCGACCCGGTTGTGCCCGTGAGAAACAGCCAATTCAGAACGGGCTTTACCCCAGGGGACCCCGGCCTCCCTGGGTTCTGAGGCTGATGTTTTCAAGGGTGCGGGCAGTGTGGCCAGAGAATCATAGGATGCCAGGGCGGGGCTCCTGTCCCAACACGGTGCTGGACAGCCCAAGGTGCCGAACCAGGGCAGAGCAGGGCTGCGTCCCCCAGGCCCTGCTGCCGCGCCTGCTGTGGGTCTCACTCAAGGGCCTTCATGGTATTTCCAGTTGTTCCCTTACTCATTTGCATAGGTGCTCCATGCTGAGATTTCCTTGTTTGCCTGCAGCCTCGGTGAAGTTCATTTCAGGCAAATCCTTAATAGGGACGATTCTGAGCTACCAGTGCTAAATGGAACTGCTGCTTAATAGGGTTTGAAGACTCCCCAGGGTGTCATTTTTGGGGTGAGTGGGCGCTACTAGACTCTGGTGAGAAGGGAAGGCGTGGGAGGGAAATGGCCCGGCATGGGCTTGTCCTTGAGCCCTGGTGGGTGGAGGGCAGCGCCAAGCCCAACTCCCTGACCCACCATTGGGCCCACTGGCGCATGTGAACCCCACTCTGGCGGCAGTACTGAAAATGCCAACTTGCCTTGCTTGGATCAATGAACCAGATACTATGCCAAGCTCTGCATCAGCACAACCTCATTTACTTGCCCCCAAAGCCTGTGCCAGAAGCAATTCTTATCCCCATCCTGAAGGCCAGGGGATGAGAGTGCAGAGACATTAAGTAAAAGGCCCGAGGTGACACAGCCAGGAATTGTGGAACCACAATTTGAACCTATGGAGGCTGAGTCCAGCGGGGACCCCTTCTCCACACAGCACTCCGGTGTGTCAAGTTCAGATGCCCACAGCAGGGCCCTTCCCAACTGTCAGCTGGCAGGGGCAGAACGGCAGCTGGGCCGCGCCCCCCACACCCTGGCCAGGTTAGACCCTGCAGCCCATGTACTGAAGGAAGAGGCAGGCAAGGTCGTCACACACACCCCCTCCATGAGGGTGACAGGGCATGCCTGGTGTTGGCCGGGGAGGGGTGAGTGATGGGGCACTTGAACCCAAGGGTCCCAAACAGGGTTCCAAGATGCCAGGTTGGGTGCTCCCTCAGCCATTTAAATCTCCCAAGATGCTTCTGGCCGGATCAGTGTCTCTTCTGCAGGCAGAAGGTGTCAGCCCACAGCAGCTTCCCTGGGTCAGGGCCCAGTGATAGAGGAGGACTTCATGGAGCTGGCGTGGAAACTGACAGCCTCCAGCTCCCCACAGCAGACCCGGCAAACCTCCCAGGCATGGGAACCTCAGATGGCTGGGAGGCAGCTGTCATTTCCAACCAACAAAGACCCCTCTCTCAACAGCCGTCTGGGCTCTCATAACCCAGCTCTTCAACGCACAAGCCAGGAAGCAGAGGTGCAGAGCGAGTAGGGACCGTGACTGACCATGAAGCTGGGCACCAAGAACTCATCCCGTCAGCTGGGGCGACTCCCTGGGTCTCACCTCCCTGGGCTGGCTGGAGGTGACGGTGACGGGGAGCAGGTGCGCCCCAGGACACTACAGAGATGACCTTAGTGCCCGGGGAATGGAAGATCGGTGTTCCCACCGCTGCGGATGCTGCTGCCAGTGGCTGTGCTGGCATCCCAGGCCCTGGCTGCCTGACCCAGGGTAAAAGCAATGGCACTGACACGCAGTGTCAAATATACCGCGGCACGAATTCCACCAAGTCCAGATGTGCCCCTCCTGGGGCAGATGGGCTATCTCAAGGAATCTGCAGAACACCATTTTCCTGAGTGTCTCCTCATGAAGCAGCCCATAAGGAGTGTCTCACGTGGGGACGGACTACATGCTTTCCACGTGCACAATGCAACTGGGCTTTTTCAGTGCTGATTCAGTGAACGATGCTTCTGGGGGAACCAGAAGGAACGGTCATCTCCAGAGGTTCTCAATGGGATGCAGCACTTTATTTCACTCACATCTAACTCCTCACGGTTTTCATGTGCTGCCTCTTGACCCAAAGGAGAACAAAGGTAATCTAAAATAACTATTTCTGAGTCCAAAGTTGCTCTTATAGACAGTGATTATAATTTTTCTCAATCAGTGGCTACTAAAAGGTGGGAGCACCGATTCTAGATATTTCTACTTGCCTTATGCACAGGGTCGTCAGCTACGCCAGGACACCTGTTCAGAATGTCACCAGTGACATCCAGGTCCTCTGGTGAAGCCTGTGGCGGAGCGAGACCTGTGCACATGGCAACACCCTCCTGGAGCGGGCCGAGGGGCAAAGCTTCCACAACTTTCCACTGAATTAATTGCCCGGCTCTACCTCCTTTTAGCCCTCTGCTTGCCCCGCTGCCACCATCCTGGAGCAGGGCCACACTTTGTGACCTCGATTACAGTGATAAGTCTACCCACAGGCCTTTCAGCTACCAGTTTTGTCTCCCTCCGTCATCCACACCCCTCCAGCCACCCCCGAGACTCTTCTGGATCACAGGTTTGCTCCCTTCATTCCTGTGTGCGATGCTGGCCCCAAAGCCTTTGAACAAGAGCAGACTCACCGTGCAGGTCCCACCAACTCTCCTGCATCTCTGTCCCCTGAGGTCTAGACCTTTCCCATGAGGTCTAACACCCAGTTTCCAGACCCGCGCTGGCTGTGAGCCACAGCACACAGCACTGCTGACTGGCCCAGCTGCCACCTGCATCCCCTTCCACCACAGCGTGGGAAGTGATGCCAAGTTGGCTGGTCGGGCTCAGGCTGAGAGTCCCGAAGACATGCTTTTCCTCACTTGTCTCCTCATGCTCCATCCCACCCATCAGCAAGCTCTGCTCATTCTACCTTCAAAGCAGCCTTCAGCTCTCCAGCTTGCCCCACATTCTTACCAACTCTTTGGCCCAAACCTCTCTCTCCTCTTACTGGGATGGCCCTCTAGACCCTGCGCCTACCAGAGCACCCCCAAATCCATTCTCAGCAGTCCCTGGTCATCAATCCCTCCTGGGCAACAAAATGGAGGAAACAATACTACCGACCCCATGGGATTTGGACGCTAGCAAACTCTAAAGAGACAAGAGTCTGCCAGAGCCTGCCTAGGAAGTGCCGAGCTCATCATGTCCAGGTCCTTCCCTCTGCTACCTCGCTGTTCTCAGCACCCCAGGTCCCCACCAGAGCAAGCTCTACTGCCCTTCCTCTGCCTCCCACTAGAGAGCCTCAGGTCAGGAGCTGCATCTTTGTCTCTGCACCTGCTGGACTGACCACAGGCGGGGCCTCTGCAGATGTGACACAGCTAACAGCAAACAGCATTTACTCGTTTGCTCCAACAACTTGCAAAAGCGTGAGCAGGCCCATGTTTACAACCAGCAACACACAAATGGCCCTTGGAGACTCAAAACAAAGACATAGAGGAGGAGCATCCTCAGGGCCTGAGGGGGTGGGGAGCGGAGAGCCTCTTGGGGTTGAGCGCACTTTCCTTTCTGAGTGATTGGCTCCCCCAGGCCTAGTTTCAGTGCCCCGTTCCTAGGGAAGAAAACCCTTCGGGGGAACCGCCATCAATTCAGGTCCCACAGGTGCCAATTCTGCCCAAAGAAAAAGTGACAAGGGGCAAGTTTAGGGGACTTAGGGACAGAATGTGGCAATTCCCTCTCCATTGGAGGGCTGGAGGGAGGAGACAGTCTCAAAGCTTGGCCTGCACTGCCTCCATGTGGAAGGCTGTGCCCTCACACCCACCTGGGTGCCTGGGAGAGCAGCCCGCACTTGGACTCAGATAACTTCTCCCAGCGTGGACACAGCTTCTCCCCTTGTCGGTCAGCGCCCCATCTTCCCAACAGGAGTGGGCAGCTGAGCCTGCAGCAGCTCCCTGCAGTCACACGCACGGTCACGCTTTCACAGCTTGTCTCTACTGACCTCTGACTTCTCATTCCTCCCCAAAGGCTGCGGCCATCGGAACTGGGTGGGGCAGGTTGCTTGGTGCCCTGCAGAGCCCTTCATCTGCATCCTCCTGGGCCCTGTAAGTGGCCCCGAGCAGAGCTGGACTCAAGTCTGAGTCTTTGCTGTAGGCTCCCATGCCCAGGATAGACCTGGTCTCTGAACAGACTTTCTGGCTGGAAGAAACCCCTCACCTGGCTGGACTGAAGACGTTGATGCCACTGCCGAAGCTGGAGTCACAAGAACCATCTGGCGCTCCTGGAGGGAATGAGAGGAATGAGGTGTCAGGCTAAAGGATTTTTTGGGTCTTCTGAATGAACATGATCTCTGGCACAAGGGATCCCTGTCCAGTTTCCCCCACACCCAATTCCTTTTGAAAAGGAACATGGTTCAGAAGCCCCAAGAACATAAGACCTACTTATCCCCCATGCTTTGGGGACAGTGTCCATGCTTAAAAGTTTTGAGGCACCGTGGCGTGATCTTGCCAGGAGAGGACAGCAAGTGCTGAACACACCAAGGGAAGTCCCCAAAGGGTCCAGCAGCCTGAGGGCTGTGGATTTAAAAACGACTTCTGACAAACAAAATAACCAACCAAGCAAAGAGACAAAATGAAAAGAACCACAACACAAAAGAATGGGGAAAATGACTTCTGGGACACTTGATCACTAGCCCTCAGGAAAACAACAACTTGATGCCACGTCACACCCACGAGTGAGGACTGAAACCCAATGTGGTGGGGATCACTCACTTGCCCCTCGGTGGGAAGGGAAAGATGGTGCGAGGGCCCCGAGTGCAGTCTGGCAACTTCTTCAAAGACTAAACAGTTACCACGTGACTCAGGGTGGCCGCCCCTAGCTGTAGGCAGATGCCCAAGAGAAATGAAAACTCCTGGCCACACCAAGGCTTGTTCGCCAGGCTCCCAACAGCATTATTTACTGGGGCGTTACCTGCTTCAAAGTGGCAATGACCCACAGGTCTCTCAACTAGTGAGTGGACACACAGCATGTGTCTGGATACACTGCGTGCTACTTATTATTCGGCAATGAGGGGACAGAGCAGACAGCCCGCACTGTGGCCACATGGCCAGACTCAGAAAGCGGGTTGAGGTCGCCAAGGGCTACAGGGGATAAGGGGTGACAGCTGTTTGCTTTTTAAATGAAATTTTTTGGTTCTTACTTTGAAGTAATTTTAGATTCGTGTTAAAGTTATGAAAAGTGAATTCTATCCACCACTGCCCCAGCTGTCCTGAACCGGAGCAGCACACGTGCCCGGAGGTCACTGGGCACCAGCCAGGGCACTGTTAGCTGGGAGAGGCCTGGGCAGCTTTGCCAGTCTCGCTGCTCCAGCCCGGCCCAGTACAGAATACCCCGCCTGAGGCTGCTACTACTCTTCTGGGGATTAATGGGTACCATGGGAAGACACTTAGACAAATACCCAGTTTGCCCCTTAAACTTCCCAATGATTTTAGCACCCACTGAGTGAACCTGCCTACAGTTACTGCCGTGGCATCTGCCAGCGGGGACATTTTATTCCCTCCTTTCTTCTGCACTTGTCACACGGAATTCTTCTATAAGGAAAAATTGTCCCTTGTCTGCCATCCCTCCAGCCACCCGTGGGTATTTATTCTGTGGACCACAAAAGAAAACCATCATCATAGACAGTTGCTCAGTATCTAATGTTCTAAAGACTTAAAGACTTCTTCAAAGTCTTAACATAGACTAGACATCCCAGACAAAGCAAAGCCGGCCCATCTCTCCCTGGCTGCAGCTTTACTTGGCCCCGTGGCAAGGTGCCACCTGGCCGAGCAGGCAGGATCTCCCTCTGGCTCTTGCGGCCCTACTTTTCGTTTTGTGAACATAAGTGGAGTCGCAGGGTATTTCTTCACTTTGTACTGTCTGGAGCAGGGTGGTTCCAGGTGTGGGCCTTGGATACTATTCCTGCCTCAGGGGCCTTTAGTGAACACGAGAAATGCAAGCTACCCGCCTACCCCCACCCCCACGTCCTTCTGCCCCTGAGGCCCCCAGGGGATGGAGCACAGCTCCCAGGGGCAGGAGGTGCCTTGGGTGATGCCTGGGCCTGACTAGCAAGCAGCCTGGTGTCAGTGGCGATGGGGCCTAGGCGGGAGAGGAGGTGCTGGGAAGCCTGCGCAGGTCAGCTGTGTACCCTGGCGGCCTCTCTCCCTCTTGACTTAAAGGAACAAACACACTTATGGAAATGATGTGCTATCAGACTCTTGCTTCCATTTACTCTTGACTGAATACATGTTTTCACTCTCACACCCTTGTGCAGGATGCAGGCGTTTTTCCAGGCTCCACTGGGGGTCTTAGGGAGGAGAGTGTGACTGAGTGCAAGGGTGAGACACTACTCTTCAGGAAGCTTCTTTCTCCTGCCTGTGTAAGCAGGTAGCGGGGCACCCACTCCACAGGCTGTTAGGAAAACACACACGCTAGCGTTAAGTGTTTTAAGATGATGCCTTGTCTTATCAAGAGAGAAACAGCTTCATGACTTTCATCTTTTTTTTTCCTTTGGGATGTTTCTTTGCTTCTTGATATAAAGGAACTCTGTCTGGGGTTTGGGTTTGAGGGTGCAATGCACTAAAGTGTCTCCTCCCAGTCCGTGTCTTATAACTTTCCACTTGTTTTGGGGTAAACCACTTTTAAACAGGTGGCTCTTCTTGATTGTTTTTTTGTTCATGGGCCTCTTATAAAAAAGAAATCCTTCCCAAGTATCCTTGCTAAGAAATGTTGAACTTGAACCTGACTTAACTCTGACTCACTTACAGGAAATGCAGAGGACAGGTATTTCCCATGATAGACACCAAGGGAAATCCCACGGGACAAATAACCCAGTTTCTTAACGGGAAAAGTGCAAGGAAGAAGAAAAAAAAAAAAGGCGCTAACTTGAGGGACACATCAGCAACTGCAATGAATGAGGCCTACCTGCTCCTAACTCAAGAGGTGAAAAAGCAAAAAAAAAATTTCTGGTCATGGGAAATACAAACCCTGACTGGTTACTGATAGGATCAATATCTCAATTTTGTTTTTCTTTCTTCAGGTGTGATGACATATTGTGGTGATTTTTGGAAAAGGAATTTTAGTTTCTTAGACTTATAGATGAAATGGCTTGTTGTCAGAAATTTGCTTCAAACTGACGAAGGATAGGAGAACAGAAATATGAAGACACGTCATGAACGAAAAAATGTTGAAGTAAGTCATGAGGCTGAGGCGCCGGATACTTCCATCATCACTGTTACTCTCTGTGTACTAGGCAATTTTTCTAGGCCTTTCATAAACACCTTTAATGCTCTTAGTAATCTTGTGAAGTAGGAAACGTGGCACAGAGGTTGAGTGACTAGCTCAGTCACACAGATGGGATGGTGGGTCCCAGGCAGCGTCTCTCCAGATTCCACTCACATTTGCACTGTACTTGCTTTTAGATTCTGATGAACATGAAGGGCAGGATCAAGAGCTGAGGAATGCAGGTGGACTCTCAAAACTGCCACGGAAATGGCTTAACACAACACAGACCAGAGGTCGAAAGTCCGTGATTGTGGTCTGTGATTGTCCCCTTGCTGTGTCCAATCTGTTACAACAGCAATGAGACACGAATACATCTGCTATCATTTCTCCTGAAGATCGAGAACACTTCACTTTCCCTGTCAGTCATCCCTGTCAGTCATCACCCCATTTCTGGTCCTTTTTTTTTTTAACGGTGAAAAAAATTTATATTTAGAACTGGCTAGCTGGACTCAGTGGAGAGGATCCCAATTTTGTTGGCAACATCTGGAGCATCAGTCAGGAGCCAGGTGCACCCCCGCCTTCATCCCATTAGGTCTGATGGGGTGTTGACCTTGGTGCCCTCAATGTAGTGTCTTCCAGCCTCCCCAAACCCATCTTTTCCCTTGCCCCCTCCAGCTCAGACAGTGGCAACTCCATTCTCCTAGGCCTTCTAACTCCTTTCCTTCTTATACCTCACCTCAAATCCATCAGCCGCCTTCTCTGTTCTAACCAGAAACATATGCGGAACTGGCCATGTGTCCCCAAGTCCACTCCTCCTCCTCACGGGACGCCTGCCTGTCATACCTCATCTCCCTGGGTCTGCTCTTGACTGCTAAAGTCTATATGCACCATAGCAGCCAGAGTGAGTCTGTGAGAATATGGGTCCAGCCATGTAGTTCTGTTGCTCAAAACCCTAGTGTGGCTGCCTCCGTCATCCAGTGTGCTTGCTGTGGTTCCAGAGGCCTGTTTAGCTCAGCGTTCCTCCCCTCTCTGCTCTCTAGAGTGAGCAGGGCAGGCCCCAAGCACAGGTGCCCAAGTTCCTCTTTGGCACGTCCCTCTGCCGGGAACAGTCGAGGGGCAGGCTCACAGCCCTGGGGGCCGTCACTTTTCACCTAAGACCCTGCTGGCAGCAGTCCCTCCTGGACACCATGGCCGTCACTGTGGTGCTTTCCACAGCACTTACATGCCCAGAAGAACTTCATGCAGAAAATCCTTCCTCGCATCTCTATTTCTGAAGGCTTTGGATACACGCTGTCAAATGTATTTGCCAGACCATGTATCTAACTTGTTTGCTCTCTGCTGCCGCCAGCAGGAATGTCTGTCTTCCCCAAAATCTCCACATGCGGGTGCATGCGGGCTCATGTATGCTGAGAGGTGCTCGTGTGTGCTCACTGGAGGCCTGGCTGCAAGCCTCACTGTGGGTCTTATTCTGAAGAACGTGGCGTGCGGTGGCTGCAGCATCACAGACAGAGCCGTGAGGGACCTACTGGACGAGTGAAACCAGGCAGGAGGCTCTGCCTTCTGCAGGGTGGACTTGGGATGAAGTACAGGCACAGAGGGCAGAGTAAGGGGGTGCTGGGTGAAGCTGCCAATTGATGAGCTAAATCACTGCTGCCTCTTAGCTTGCAGCAACCTTCTCCCGGGTGCCTCAGTAAAGTGGTGGTTAGCTACAAACTGAGTGGGTCTGAGAAGGGACGTGGAACCCCCAAATTAGCTGTTGGAAAGTAGTATAACGTGAACTTTGTGTCTGCTGAAATGCTGTTTATGAGGCAGTAAAATCTGGAGCCAAGTTGTCTGACTGTATCCTGGTTTCGGGTAAGACTCCTGAGCAGGGAGCTGCTTGAAGAATACTCAGGGGAAATTATCTAAAAAGGGAACTAGGCTGCATTGGCCGGGAATCGAACCCGGGCCTCCCGCGTGGCAGGCGAGAATTCTACCACTGAACCACCAATGCTCCAGTTAGCAGGAAGGTTTTAGCAGCTGCCATGACCCACAGAACACAGTGCTTCCTTGCCACAGGGCTTCATTGGCTGCCACATTAGCAGAAAGGGTGGGGCAGGGACTGAACAGTTTCACTTTGGAGGAAGAGGTACAAAGTCAGTATAAAACATTCAAAACTTTTGCATGTTGTGACTTGTCAAGCCCAAATGAAGCCCCAAAATACCAAAAGTAAAAAAACCCCACAACCAGAATGTGGAATGATGTAAGTTGCATGATCTCAAGATGAGAAATTATAATATTGACCAGCCTTGGGGACAGCTTTGTTTCTAATTTCTCTTTGCAAATTTTCTAAAATGGGAAACAAAACATGGGATGAAAGATGATAAAATAAAATGGAATACCCATATATCAGTGAAACTTCAAGAAATATGTCTGTTCTTGAGATTCTTTCAGTTTCCCACCAAGAAGGACCCTGCTATGTATGGGAGGCCCATACTAAGTGACAGCCCCAAGTTTTCTTTTTCAAGGAGTTGTCAAAAGGTTCCAGTTGCTACTTGCATTGGCCGGGAATCGAACCCGGGCCTCCCGCGTGGCAGGCGAGAATTCTACCACTGAACCACCAATGCTCCAGCTGAGCACCACTCTGCCACCAGCTGTTTTGCTGCTCTGGCTCACAGCAGGCGCTGGCACAGTCGTAACCTGACACCTGAGACAGGTCCAACATGGAATGCCTCTGGCTTGTACCAGGAAAACCATGGGAAGCAGCCCAAAGGATATGCGCGCTTGACTTTCTGCTCAGCTATTCGGAAAAATTGAGAACAGCAGTGGGAGAAGAGGTTTAAAAATTCTGCTGTCTCCCGGTGGCAGGTTCCAGACCTTAGTCTGTTGGCTTTAAGAAATGAATAGGCTGTGCAACAATTCACTCTCTGGCTGATTCTTCAAAGGAGAACATCACCCCAAAGCCCATCGCTGATGGTGAGGAAAGACATCAAAGGATTTATAAAAATAAAGAGCTTTGGATAACATTTAGAACGCCAAACTCTAATCAGCACAAAAGTGACTTTCTTCACATTATGGATATGTATGACAATAATATTTAAGGGGTGTGGGAAGAAAGCAGAGTCCTCTCACTTTTTAAAGACATGGTCTTTGGCAGCAGAACGGAGTAAACTTCAGCTGGAGCTTTCTTAAGACTCTCCCCTTCCCCCCCCTCCCCACCCCCCCACACCCAGAGTGAACAGCTGGGTGACTGGATGTCTCCAGCCAAGACCCACGTACACCCTGCAGCCTGAACTGCCATGCTCCAAACTGTCTCACACTGGAAACAGCTATTTCCTATAGCTGAACCCAGAAAAAGACCAAAGGAAGGCTCAGTGCCTGCCAGAAGGCTGACGGCCAGGGTTCAAATCTCAACCCTGCCACTTAGTAGCTGCCAGACCCTGGACATGTTACCTGTCTTCCCTGTGCCCAACTACAGAGTGGGGGTCACGCCAGTTCCCACATACCTTGGGTGTTGCCAGAATTAAGAGTTAATCCATGGAAAGTAGCCCTGCCAGGGTAAATGAGGCTTCAGTCCAGGTCTAGGAGCTCTGCAGCAACCTGGCGGGGGCGGGGTAGGCGCACTCACCACCGGCTATCCCCTCCTGCTTCGCCAGGGAGTCATCGGGGTTGGGCTCTGCCTGCTTTGGCGCCATGGACTTTGGCTCCTCGGGTTCATCATCCTCAGGGGTGACCAGCTTCATCAGGCTCTGGTTGCATACGTTGGCAACCTCCTTGATGCCTGAGGCCACTGATGTAAGGAGCAGCTCCACTCGGGGTCTCCCCTAGACCCCAGGGCCCGGGCCTTCTGCGGCTCTGGTAGCAGGCAAAAGGGCAGCCAGAACCGAGTCCCCGTCCTCTTTGCCTCTGCACGAGATGCTCCTGTATCTTCTCTTGGGCCCCTTCTTGGCAGACGCCAGAGATGGGATTTCCCCACCGAGGAGCAGCAGTGTGAGTGCAGCGGGTTAGAGTCGGGGACCCAGGAGAGTTGTCTCGATTTCAAGTAATTGAGCGAGGTTTGGAGACAGCGGCACGAGCGCTGAGTCCCGGGGCACCCTGCCTCTCCAGTCCTCACTCGGCTCTGCCTCCCCTTGGCGCTAGGGCTACTGGAGAACTGATGGATTCTAGGGAGCCCCACTCCCTACTCCAGGGTCCTGAACCTTCACTGCCTCTTTTGGGGCTGCTCTTACTTCTCTCCAGAGTGAAGGATACTTTTCTTGCGGTCATCGTAGGCCAGGCAGGGCAAGACGGCTGTCAGGATCCCAGAGGAGTAGGGCAGCATCACCCGGCCGGCCAGCTGGATGAACTCCCGCATCCAGCACATGGCTGTCAGCTGGATCAGATCATCTGCAAGAGGCATGGTGGGCTCCAGGGGTGAGCACCAGCAGCCAGTCTCCCCCCACCAGCTGGGCCCGGAGCACGGGACTGGAGGACCGGGGTGCCCATGGGCTTGCATTACGTTAGTTCCCCCCCATGTTCTCTTACGCTTGCTTTTAGCTTCCACAGGTTACGAGGCTGGAACAGAACAACAATCTTGTTTGACTGTAAGAGCAGCCAGCATTCTCTCCTGGCCCAATGTCCACGTTATGGGACTCGGCAGTGCCTCTCATTAAATGGGTAAATTCATTTCTCAACGCTGTGGCTCTGGGCTGGCCTGCTACTTTGGCCAGCGGCAGGGGACATGTGCCTGGCTCAAGAGGCCAGCTCACCTCTCCCATGTCCCCTGGGACCTCACTAATGCCGCATGAATGCATTGGGCTAGCCTGCTGGGCGATGACCCACAACTGGTCATCTGCTAGACTTGGGTAAGGCCATCCTCGGTCACCCAGCCTGAGCTCACCCAATGTTCACTGTGGGTATGTGACATGCCCAGCCCAGGTCAATATCCAGCTGCCCAAGACTGACTAATAAGTGACTAGTGATGAAGCAATTGTATGGCGGTTAAATACTCGACAGAAACTGACAGACACACAGCCCCAGCCTCCAAGGGTTTTGACCCAGAGAGCCAGCGCCAAGCCTGCCAGCAAGGTCTCTAGATCTCACTCCCCTCGAGGGACAGGCCAGGCGAAAAGGCCGCCTGTATGTCTCACAGGACCACGTTCTGGAGCTCCCGAAGCCAGTGTCACCCTGGCTCACACTAAAAGGGGTCCCCAGGAGGTGGTGGGGCTGTGGGGCCCCACACTAACCCGCAGTCTGGCAGTGGATCACCAGGATGTTGGCCATCTCAGCAAACTTCACACTGGACGGGTTCTTCTTGATCTCTTTCAGGAATTCTCCAAGGACCACCTCGCACCTACGGATGAGAGCAGGGACAGCACCTGCAGTCAGGCGGGGGCAGCGCCGCCCACGCCTGTCCCCGCCCGGGGCCTCCAGGGGACTGCTTGCTGGAGGGACTCCTCCGGAGGCTGGGGGCTGGCGCGCACCCAGCTCCTCACAACAGGAAGCACATGAGCCAGGAAGAAGAGCGAATTTCTCCTCTCCTGCTCGCCCGCATGCTGGTGTGGGGGACCCGCTGCCTCCGACTCACATTTTCCGTATCTCTTTGCCATTATCGCCCAGGATCTGGAAAAGTCCATCTAGGATCTCCGGCAAGTAATCCAGCAGGTTAATGTCTGGCACAGACTCCAGAACCAGGATCTGACCCAGGAGAAGAAATCGGGCCTTGAGAAATCAGCTGGAGCACCCTCAGTCTTGGGGGACGGGCCAGCGGAGGGCCTGCTCCCTGCTTGGGGAGCCCGGGGAGACACCCCCCCCCTCTCCTGGGGGCAGGGTACGGGTAGCTGTTGTTTTGCTGAAAGAGCAAGGGAATGGCAATTTAACTCCAAGGAGGTTTAGGTGCCTGGAGGAAAGGGAGACGCCTGGGAAAGGATGGAGGATCTAGAAGAGGCGTCTCTGCTGGAAGGAACACGACTGGCATGAAGAGAAGTCGGGAATGTCCTGGGACAAGGAAGAAGAGTTGGAGCCTTCTCAGAGGCAAACATGTTGGGCAAAGCTGAACAAACATGCCTGCATTACCTGCCACTGGCTGTCAGAGGGCTAACAATGAGGCTTCTCTGCGGGCACAGGACGTGGCAGGAGAGCCAGAGAGACTGGTCTACACCAGACCTGCGGCCCACTCCAGGTGCAGAAAAACATCCGAGGCCAGCCCTTACCCAGGAGATGATGAACTGCCGGGCGTACTGGTTGTTGGAGTAGATCCTCTCCCGCAGCAAGGGGATGAAGCCCACCAGGTCAAACTTGCTGCTCTCCGTCACGATGTCCTGTGGGTGGAAGGCACGGGTACTGCCGTGAGCCGGAGGCCAGCTCAAGTCTCTGGCCCGGGGCGCGGCTCCTGGCTCAGGCAGCTACCCAGGACCCCCAGCCAGCTAAGAGAGGTCCCTGCAGCAGCCACACTCTCAGGCCAAAGGCCAAGCCCAAACGAAGGACTGAAAGCAGGAAGCAAGTCAAGAGCGCTAATCCTATAATAAAAGGCTACGTGTGGGTGGTATAGTGGCTGAGCAGAGCCAGCCCCGTGCCTGGGGGCGGCTGTGTGGAGGCGGGGTAACACGACATTGCTCTGCTGCTGTGGGGGAGAGGGCCTGTATTTTGACTGTGTTGGTGATGTGAGTCTATACTCCATCGTCCCACTGTACGCCAAAGAGTAAACTTGATGCCAGTTTAAAAATGTTCTTTAATTAGGAGAGCATCTCTGACAATAGAATTTATAAGCTGTATAGAGAGAAGAAGAAGGTTTGAAGCATCTAAGTGAGGACAAAGCATGAATACCTTCAAGAGGCGGTCGAGGAGCTCAGATCCGCTCTTCACATTGGGGTCTGGGTCAGCGGCCAACTGCGGGGGACACGGAGAGAGAAACATACCCACTGCCTAAGGCGGGGAGCCCCTGGGAACGCTTGGCCTGGGCCTCGACGTGGTCTGGACAGAGAACGGGCACCTCTTTGGCAGACTAAACCAGGGGCGGGGCCATAGGGGCCTGGCCAAGGAGTTGCGAGCAGCACCTTCTCCCATCTGTTTCGGGACCTCGGTGACAGTGCCGCTGGGTCAGGCCCCCAAGTCATGATCCTTCCTCAGCGTTTTTGGTCTCAAAATGCCGGGTCTCAGAGACATTTTACGGGGGTGGGGGGAAGTGCACAGGACTATGGTGATGGCACACAGGTGATTTGGTGATGGGAAGCCCCTGGGGATTACAACTGAGATGGGAAAAGTCACAAAATGATGTAAAAACAAACTGTTATATTATTACAAAAATCAAAAAACTTTGCCTATGCATGAACAGGCTAATAAAAACTTCCATAGAAATAAAAAAAAGTTAAGGCTAGAAAAAAATAAATGCTGGGTCCTCTCTCCATCCTGGAGGAAGGAACCAGGCAGCCTCAAGCTGGTATTCTAGACAATGGGGCCAGCAGAGCTTCAGGGGGCTCCACGAGGCCCAGAGGAGGCTGAGGGGGCCTTTCTAGGCAGGGCTCTTTTTAGAGCTGAGAAGCTCCCTGCTCCTCACAGGGGGACATAATGTGGAGTCACTGCTGTGGTCTTCCACCACGGAAGGTGCTTTGCATCCTTCGTTTTTTTTTTTTTACCTCCAAATGTGTGGTGGATAAATACTTGTAAAATGCAACAAAAATAAACTAATAGAGAACTAAGAAAAAAACGAAGTACACACACAAGCCCATTCAGAAGGTTACAGACAATGGGTGCTCCTTGCAGCCCCATGCTCATCGGCTCCGCCTGCACCTGGAAAATCGACCCAAGCACCCCAGGTCCCGAGGTCAAGTCTGGTGGGTGGGGTGAGCCATCCACCAGGTACTGGGGAGGAGCGGTACCTTACTCAGGCCGTCAAAGAGCACATTGAAGTGGGGCAGCACAGCACCACGGGCCACCTTGACGATGTTGTAGAGGGCCTCGCAGGCGTAGTAGCGCAGCCGGCTGTCCGTGTCATTGAAGCAGGTCAGCACTGGCTCGATCAACTCCTTCAGGTACAGCCCTGAGTCCTGCCATGGGGCAGGAGGAAGAAAAGCCCTCAGAATGGGTCAGACCCCAGCGCTCCAGCCCCAGCTCCCCTTGAGGTGCTCAATCGAGCCTTTGTGTGAAGCCTGTGTTCTGTGGCCCTCTGCAAGCCGGCCTCCCAGCACAGGGCTAGGCAGAGGGAGCAGGTTGCTGGGCCACAAACCCAGCTTTGCTGGCTTAAGGTGTGGAGAGAATGGAAATAAACACAGGTCTGCAATCCCCTCCCGGTCTCGGGTGAGAGTCAAGGCCACAGTGGGTGTCTGTCCCTCCAGGGAAAGGCTCACCTTGCCCAGCGCAATAGAGCAGGCAGCCAGGCCGATGAGGCCCCCTTTCCGGCTGTGGGGGTGCTGAGACAGAGCAAACTCCTGAGAGAGGGTCTGGATCACATGCTTGATTTGCATGGTGTTGTTTTGGGCCACAAACTCCCGGACCAGCCTGGAGAAAGGAGAGGAAGAGGCTGCAGGGCGGTGGCCTCAGGCTGCAGGGTGTGACTCCCAGGCCTGGGGTTGGCGTGAGGGAGACGGGGTGTGCAGAAACAGGAACTGGGAGCCAGGGATCTGAGCCAGGACCTTCCCAGTTCTGCTGCTGATGGGTCATGACTGTTCCCCTATTCCAACTCTCAGTTTCCCTTTGTATATGAGGGAAGGAGGAAGCTGATCTCGCTTCTGGGAATCTGAGATGATTGAAAATAAAGGTCATGTTGCACACAGAAGCTGTGATGCATTATCTGTTCACCAGCTGTCTTTACTCAAGCTAGCCCACCTTCAATAAGGTACCCAATGGGTTCTCTCTTGTGGGTTCCTATGAGCTGGACACTCATGGGCCACTGTGACCTATATGCTATCCACAAATCCCAGCATAGTGTTCCTTGACCACCTACGGAGTATAGCTTGTATCACAAGGCAGGCCTGGGGATGCCCAGGCTGCTGCTGACCTGGTGACGTGATTACCTCCACGGCAGTTTCGGGATAACTGCCTGTGATAACTCATACACATGGTCACGAAGTCCCCTTCCCTGTCCCTTGTAAAACGTTGTCCCCATTCCTATCCTACCCTCTGGATCCTATTCCTCATACATACCACTGTCGCATGATCAGCTTTTACTAGCCTGCATGATTCCAATAAATGGCACAAACACTTCTGCTCAAGCTCAGAGTCCTGCCTTGCACGCCTGCTCCATGGCTGCTGTGTCCCTTGTCGCATTCCCCCCCATAGTGGCAAAAAGTTCCTGTTGCAACACTGTGTCTTTACTTCCAGGGCCCCAGCGTGACAGACTAGATCCACACACAACAGGCATGGGCAGTGAGGGTAGTGACAGGGCGCAAGTGACACCACAGAAGAAACACGCCACATGCTAATCTGCTTGGGCCGACAGGGAGCTGCCATTTGAGTCAGAACTTAAAAACATTAGCAGGCATTTCCCAGGGCATCACAGGCAGAGAGGAGAGTCTGGCACAAGCCCCGGAAGACTTGTGCATCAGGGAAGGACGAGGAGTCTCTGTGTGGAATGGATGGCCAGACACAGCGAGGGGGATGTGCTCAGGTCTATGCTTCAACTGGGTGCTCTGGGGGCAGCCTGGAGAGTCTGTGCCAGGGCAGGGGGTTGTATGACAGGAGACTGATGTCAAGGAAAAACCCTAGAGGAGAACACGGTGGCTGTCCAGGGAGGAAGGAGGGCCTGAGATATGGCTGAGCCAGCAGCAGCAAGCAGGATGTCTAGGCCTGGTGTGGGCCCCAGAAACATCATGAGGGAGACAGTTAACAGAAGAGCACCGGGAGCCCATGTAACAGGCCAGTGAGGCTGAGGGAGCCACTCTCATGGCTGGGCACACCTGTGCTCACCCTGAGGCTGCTGCAGGCAGAGGAGAGCAGAGGGAGGCCTGGCTCTGCCAGGGGCCCATTTCTGTTTTGAGCCCAGTGGACAGTAAGGCCGAGACCCTCTGCCCATTAGGAGCTCACGGTGTCTCTGCAGGGAGAAGCCTCACCTGGGAGAATGGTGGCCTGAAACCCAGATACCTGATGGGAAGCTGTGGCCTGAGTGCCAGGGGAGTCTTCCCAGAAGTGGGATTTAAGCCTGACTTCGAAGAAGGGAGATACAGGGAAAGGAAACAGGAGAAAATGTGTGAGCAAAGGCACGGAGGGGGACGGAGCCAAGTTGGTGTGGGCCCCGGAAAACCTCGTGGAGGTTAACTATCACCAGCTGCTGTGGCTATCCGGGAGAATGGGTTGCATCATGGGTATGGAGATGTTTCCTGAGTTTTTTGAAGAGCATGGTGACCAAGCGCATTAAGCAGTTAGGAGACAGAGGGGTAGGAGAGGCCGTGCCCCCATCAAGGTGCCAGGGACTGATTCCAGAGCAGCAGCCCACGGTGTGATGGGGCAGGCTGGAGGTCACGGGCCTTTCCAAGTAGCCCCAGACTCACTGTAGTGGCTCTGCGTGGCAGGTATACTCTGCTGCTGCATACACAGGGGCCTCAGGTTGGCCTGAAGGACGTTTAGGGCAGCATCAGAGTCTGTGCTGTTATAGCTAAGTCTCAGGAACCTGCTAGTCATCAGACTCATTAGGAAAAAAAAAAGGTGCTGTCTCTGGACCTGGTGACCACTATTGTAAAAAAAAAGTTATCCCCAAGAAAGGTTAAACAGGGTTGGCAGAGACTGAACACAGGGAGTGGTACGGTGCCTGACACAGTGCAATCGGAGGTCAACAAACAGGCCTGGCTCCAGGGCTCGAGGAGACTGGTGTCCCAGGAAAGGCTGCACAAATGGCCTGGCTTCCTGTTGTCTTTATGGGGGTGATTTCACTAAGCCCATTCCAGAGGACTGAGAGCTGTGGGTGAACCAAGGGCCTCTGGATGGAGCTCCACTCCAGTTCTATAGACCCCCAATTCCCCAAATAGCACAGGAAAACCCAGTCAAGAAGGTTCTACAACCTGTCCAGTTTGTAGATGAGGCCCATGTGCTGCAGCTCCTTGAACAGTAATGGACACAGATCTTTGAGAAGAGCCTTGCAGATACAGAAAGAAGCAGCTGGAGCATTGGTGGTTCAGTGGTAGAATTCTCGCCTGCCACGCGGGAGGCCCGGGTTCGATTCCCGGCCAATGCAGAGCTGCTCTTTTGTCTTATCCTTTGCCAGTCCTCTCAGAGGTCCTGCCAAAGGAACCACACCCAAGTGTGTAGCAAACCCAGATACTGAGTCTCTGACCAGGCTTCCAGGCTCAGCGAGCACAGGAACAGCAGCTGGGGTCTCCAGAGAGGCACTACTGGCTGTAGGACCTAGGACTCCTTCCAGCAGGAAGCTGGGATGAAACCTGAGAACTGTAAAACAGCTCAACACATGAACTTGGAAGGGGAGAACCCAGACATCAGAGAGGAGAAATTCACCCAGTTTCAACATGCATTTTGTTACCGAGAACGAAAGACTTGAGCATTTAAGTTGCGTCCTTAGGTCTGAAAGCAAATTGATTACATCCACCCAGTCTTCCCGCCAAAACTTAGGTGGCAGCATGTGAGCCTGGCCTTATAGTCTATGATTCAGCAGACAAACCAGGGTGAAAGGGAGGTGCTCACACAGCTGTTGACAGCTGGAGCATTGGTGGTTCAGTGGTAGAATTCTCGCCTGCCACGCGGGAGGCCCGGGTTCGATTCCCGGCCAATGCACACAGCAGACTTTTGGTCCCAAAAAGTATGTGATATTACCACACAGCCTAAAGAACTTATAAAAACAGTTTGAGAACTGAGAATGACTCATTCCGGGTTTGTGTTTTACACTGTTTGATGAAAAATACTGTTTCCTAAGTTCCACAACGATCTAGAACCCAGGTCTCTTGGTGCCAAGGAGGCCAGGATGTGAGGATGCTGCCCAGCCACGGAAGGCAGCTGTGCCTCCCACCCTGCCCGGGGCTCTGGCGCCGAGCGCACTCTGGGCAGGGCAGCCACGGTCTGCCTGGGCAAGTCAGGGCAGCACAGAGCGGGCTGAGCACACCCGAGGCCTGAGCACGGGACAGAGCCAGCCTGTCGCCTTGTGCCGGTCACTAACTGTCCCCAGGCAACTGGGGGGGGCACACTCCTCCCCACCGGAGAGCCAGCACAAGGGATGCGCTCCCTGCCCTTGTGCTTTCTGCACAGCTGGGACGGGGGGAGGAAACCAGAAAGTAGTCAAGGACTTTTGTGCAAGGCAGAGAAAAACATGTGTTAAGAAGATGCAGAGGCGAGGGGGCAGCAGGAAGGCCTGAGTGGCATCTCTGGGGGGAAGACTCAGGTGCAGCTTCCTGAGGGCGTGCGTCTGAGTGGGGCTCTGGGGCTGGGGGCTGGGCAGGTGCTCTGGAGTTGCTCAGGCCACACAGCTCCGCCAGTAAGAGCAGAAGAAGGCTCACGGGGAGGAGAGAGGCATTTGGTTCGGCAGAAGCAAAGGACACAGGAGAGGAGAGCAGGGGAGAGCAGAGGAGGGGGCAGGCAGAAGCTGCTCCCAGCCACTGGCTCAGCACACTGGTCGCGGCAGAGGAACTGGCGCAGCCGTAGCCAGGACGGTGAGGGCAGGTGAGGGTGGAGGGGATGTGGACTGGGGTGCTATCGCCAGAGACAGCTCGCAGTGTAACAGGGTCACTGAAGGGAGGAGACAGGAATGGGGGAGCGCTGGGTCTGGCACCCGCTTTGCTGCTCAGCAGCCCCTTCCTCCTTCACTCTTCTGAATGTCCCAAACCTGAATCCTACCAGGGTTCTTCTAGGCGCTTCCCAGGCTACTGTAAAAATGCTGGCCTTGTCCAAGCCCTGAGGCTTCAGGACCCCAAGTGTCCACTGTCTGTACCCCGCCCTCCGGGGTAGGATATCCTCATGGCCAAGAGAACAAGGCCCACAACGACAAACACTGTTCCCTCTGGAGGGGAAATCATGAGAACGTGTTCTCACTGTGGGGAACCTGGAGCGCACTGGCCCGCAGAAGGCTGTCCCACGAGTCCTCAGCTGGTGGTGAGGGCAAGCAAAATAGGGCCCATCCAATGCCCCACCTCACTGCCCAGCTGTCCCACCCTGCCCCCCACCCACCAGTCCTCCAGAGCAGCCAGGTCGCCTTCTCACTGGGCCCAGCTCACTCATGCAGGTCTCCTCTCCCCAGTTCACTCATGCGCATCTCCTCTCCCATAACAGGTGGCTCTACATCCTCCTGCAAATCCACCTGCTGTCAGTGGCCACCCAGGAAGCCACCCCTCCTCGCTGAAGGCGGAAGGACTCAGGAGCCCCACCGGAGGCCTGCTTGATTCCTTCTCCCGCAGCCCCTTGACAGTCCCTGAGGACTGGCCGCATTCCTCAGCAGCTCGGGCCTGGGGACTCAGGAGCCACCTGTGGGGGCCGGACTGGAGGCAGCACAAGCTCAGGGCAAACATGGGCGACCCTCTGCCCCGCTTATCAAAGCCCAACCTGTGGGCTTACCCTGTGAGTAC